GCCTTGCTGCAGCGGCGGCCCCGCAGGCGGGCCGGGGACAGGACCCCCGGGCAGCCCGATCCCCTGCAGCGGGCTGGCAGCGGGGCACGGAGACGGCAGGTACCCGCAGCCAGGGCAGCAGAGGTGCGAACAGGGCTTGCGTCTCTGGACAAGATCCGTGGCCGTCAGGACAGAGGGGTTATTCAGTGAATACTTTAGGTGACTTCTAACAACGCACCAGAATACCCGCTATTCCTTTTTGCCAAAAAGTGCAGTGGCACAGTATCTGCCTTAGGCTCATCCTGCAGACAGGACCGATTTCCCCAAACTTCCTAAACGCTTTATTATGTCAGTTCTGTTTGAATAAAACTTTAATGCTTTTTTACAAACACAGGCTTATCTGAGTTGCTGCTTTGTTTGAGTGTTTACATTCATTCATTGCAATGGAAAAAGTAGCACCACTGCACCCAAACTTGTTAGGGAACCCTGAGTTTCAAGCGCTATATTATAAATCGTTTAACAAATAAAAGCAAACACATCACCTTATTTATTTTAGTCAGTGGAGTTTTTTGCGTGTTTTTAATAGCTGCATACTGCAAGGGAGAACGCGAGTTACCAGCTACGACAGCCACAGCAACTGAAGTCCCTGCTGAAGCCAATGGGCAGACCCAGCACACTGAACATCGGGGACACATGCTGGTCCCTGCAGACTCAAAGGTGCCCATAGTTTCGCACATGACTTGCACACCTCGCTGGGTCCCCACACCTGGACACAGCTGCTTTGCAGCTGGAAGGGCTGGGCAAGCACTCCCTCAGGCCAGCATAAGGTGGAGAGAAGAAACGCAGCTGCTGGAGACCTTCGGTTTCCCTCCTTGAAGTAAATCTGATCTTGTTCCTTACTGCCTCAGCTCCTCAAAAAATAGGACTAAAGGATTTTTTTTTCCCCTTAAGCAAATTTTCAGCATCCATTGCTCAAAAACTTCAAAACACCCTTCAGTGATTAAATACTAAAGGAACAAAAATTTTACCTTTTCCTGAAGGGTTAGTTCCATGATGCTGAGAGTCCCTAACTATATGACAAGTTAGTCAAACCTATCAATAATGAAGACACTCAAGAAAGATGAAGCTGCGTTACCACAATGTGGAGAATCAGGATATATTTATGCCTTGTCAGCTTGTGAAGCTAGCAGCATACAGTTGACGTTCCCCGTATTTGAAAATACGCCGTCTTCATAGGATGGTTTGTTTGGGAGCTTGTTCTGCCATTGATGGGGCTGATTTTTCTCTGGCTTTGCTCAGAGCTCCACAGAGCACTTTGGAAACCCCAGCTCCAGCAAGCAACACACGAGCCTGCTTCCCCGAGCGAGCGACCCCAGGCTTCAGCTGTCAGCTCAGCGTGCTTTTGAAAGAAGCTTATTCAGTGGCATTGCAGGCATCAGACAGCAAACCTGAAGGTTTTGCATTTCACACTTTGTTTCTTGTCTGGGGGAGGAGGGATGAGAAGGAAGGTTTTACCAGTAAGCAGCTGCACAGCAGCAGTGGTTGGCTGCTGTCTCCTGCATCTTATTTTTAATCAGAGCAGCACCGTGAAAAATCACTCCTTAACGACCACCCCACAAACCCACTCTCTAGCCCCATGCAAGAGCCGGAGGTGAGCTGGGCAAGTTGCAGAGATCTGGGTCCATCATCACATCCATATACATTTCAAAGGCTTTGTTAGCAAAATATTATTTATTCAGCCTGATTCTTTATCAGTCACAACATCACTGAATTCAATGCAGTTCCCTCTGTAAAAGAGGAATTCAGTCTATTGTCTTCACTAAAACAATGTTTAGTTTGTTTACAGCAGAGTTCTCAGAGAGAACGCCCAAAGGTAATTTTGAAATTGGACATAAAATAGAAAGACAAACCAGCTTTGCACTTCAAAAAGAGACTTTGTTCTGTAGTACAGGATCCGTCACAAATATTGCATCAGCAGCCAGACTACTGGCACTTAAAATTAATAGGATGGAAGTTATCAAAGCCACCATGTCAAAGTCACGGGGACCAAAGCAGGAATCCTGTAGCACCCTGAGCAACTGGATGGTATGGCACCACCTTACTCTGCTTTTTTGAAAGAGGTCATGGAAAAATATATAAACTTTGCTCAAAACCTCAGCGTTTTTGTGTGTCTTTCAAACTCCTGATCTGCTTTTAATTACAAAATGGCAGTGGAAGGTACGAATATGCTGCCACAAAGACAGAAAAAGGGGGAATACAGAAAGCTATCTTTGCTACCAATACATTATTAAATTCTTTTCTTTGACATCCTGACAGTAATTGCACTGAATGGGATTGAGTTTTGTTAAAATTACTTTAAAAGGGTTGTTGAGAATTTCCTGTGGGATGCAGTGGCAAGTACCAAGGCTTTCACTTCATTTTCTCTGTTGTCCTTACGCTCCCAAGGGTCTTATTGTTCATCCTGCTTTTTGACAGCATGAAGGCCTATGTAAACACCCTCTGAAAAGAGAAAGCCTCACCAGATACTGCCATTTGGGTTTGTTTTCCTCTGTCAGAGGGAAAGATAAATATTCCTACCTGATTCACGGCTGAGCTTCTTGCAAGTATATTTTTAGCAACCAACCAGCTCTTCTGATAGAAGGCATGAAACACAAATGATCACATTAAATTACACACTTT